GAAATTTTGAATTTGGAAATACTTTTGAATCCATTGCTTGTTTTTCGAAAACTTCCCTGAACTTATCAATTATTTTCGAATAAATTAATTCATGTTGGAATTAACCCCTTTTTGGAAATAATTATCCTTTTTCCGAAATTTCAACATTTTCTTTCTTCCGCAAAATATTTTAAAATTTCCTCTTCCCAATTCTTTTCAGAAAACCTTTTTTTTTTCCCTAATTCAAAAATATTTTCTCTCGAAATTTCACATTTTCTTGTAAATAAATTTAAAAATAAATCAGAATTTATTTTTTCGAAATTAATTATCTCTTTCTTTTGAGCGTTTATTTTTGAAAAATTCGTTTTGCAAATCTCTCCTTCGGATTCTTTCAATTTTTTTCTAACCATATTCTTGAATTAACTTCCAAGTCAAAATACATTAATTTATTCAAAATTAATTCTTGTTCTGCGCTTCTCTGCTACCTTCATTGCTAAATCACTTGATGACGCTCTACTCTTGTAAATAGGAATTGTCTCCCCCCTTCTCCACATGCCATCACGCCAAACCAAGAACTCCCAACGCGCCGCCGCCGACGCCGCCACTGCTGTTGCCGCCGCCGCTGCTACTGCGTCCTCCACCCCCTCTTCCCCCGACATGAACGCATCCTCCATCAACATGTCTGACATCCGCACCGACTCGGTTGATAGCATTGCCCGCAATCTCGTAGGCGAACAACCACCAGCAAACACTGCCACCCCCGACCTCTGCGCCATCCTTCACGCTCTCAAACCCTCCAAACCTCCGTCAGCTCCGTCACCGTCTCCCTCGACGACATTAGGGCCAACATATCGTCCATATGTGACCACGTCACCACGCTCGAATGGAACAACCCCTCCATCACGGCCGTCACCACGACCGCTCTTCCCACCTCCACCACACAAACCACTCCCTCCTCCACAGCCGCCTCCAGCAACACCCCCCCACATACCTCCTCCACTCCTACCACCTCTACCACCACATCCACCAACCCTTCCTCCTCCACCCTACCCCCCCCTCATCCCGCACTTCCAGCACACCGCCTCATTCCTCGCCCATCCACGTCACCCCTCTTCCCCCTCTGCACTCCCATGCTATCTCACAACCCATCATGACGACCTCCACCATCCCCACCATCCGCCCCACCTATTCCCAAGTCACCTCCGGGGTTTACCCCGCAATGCCACAACTCCCCCCCAACTACCTCCTTGAGGACAACAACCAACTCGACCACACCGGCTATGACACCACCCCCGATAACCTCAGCTTCAACACCCTCGCCCGGATCGTTAACCACGATGGGGAAATCCCCAGTTCCTTCCGATCCGTCGACATCATGTCCTTCTTCGGCCTCCCCCACGAGGACGTTTTTCTCTTCCTAGCCCAGCTCCAGAACTCTTTTCACCTCCACCACATGCCCCTTGCCTACTGGCTCCCCATTGCCACCTCCCGCCTCCTCGGCAATGCCGCCAAATGGTGGATGGCTGAAGTCAGCAACCGCTGAACCTCCGGAGGACCACGTCACTCCTTCCTCCAATGGGCCAACCTTCTCACTGCCACCTTCCGCCCCCAGAAAACCATTGATGACTACCTTGAACAATTCTGCCACCTCCGCCACACCGGTCCCACGGACCGCTTCGTCCAATACGTCCGCTCCCTCCGCCACCACCTCCCCACCACCGTCATTCCTGACTTTGCGTTCATCTCCCGCATCAAACGAGTATGCCACAAAGACCTTGCAACCGCCCTCACCCACGAACCCGACATGCCCCTTGCTGACCTCTCCTCTCGCATGCTTCACCACGATCAACTCCTCCACCCCCATCACCAGTCAGCGCCCACTCCCTCCCGCCCCTGCTTTTTCCATAACGACACCACTCCACCCACCTCCGATGACGACTTCGACACTGCCTCTCTTGACCCCTCCCAATTCACTATTGAGGACCTGAGGACCGCCCACCTTATGCGGACGGAACGCCAGGATCATGCCTCCCGAACGCCTTCTGCCTCTCCAACCCGTCGTCTCCAAAAACTCACATCCGCAGAACGCATATACCTCGAGGAACACAACGGGTGTTTTCGCTGCCGCCAGTTAGGCCATCAACTGACCAACTGCCCCAACGCTAGCCGCTTTACTCGACCGGCCCCTCGCTCCACGGGACCCGGCCCTTCTACTCCCACTTCTTCCTCCACCACGACAGTCGGGCCCTCCCCCACCTAAACATTGTCCCCCTGTCTCTTGCAATCCTCCATAGGCATCGACCACTTGTCTACCGGCTCTCCCATCGGTGACGATCTCTCCTCCACCAGTGGCTCACTTAGCATCGACTATCCGTCTGCCTACCCCCCTTTCCGGTGACGCACATCCCATCGGACGACCCCCGGGCGATGCAGTCTACTCCGCTTGCCCCCCTCCCGACGACGTCTGCTATCCCGTCGATCGAGCATCCCACTGGCACCTGCTCTTCTACTCTCAACCCTAAACCCCTGTATAAACCCTGCTACAACCTCGCAACCCCGCTCTACACACACCCTTGAACCCAACCACCCTCCCCTTGACCGTGATTCCCGTGATTCCCGTGATTCCTGATGTCTGTTCTGCCCTTGCTCTCACCTAGCCCTGTCCCATCTGTCCTCTCCACTACCTTGTCTCTCTTGTTAAATGCTTGTGGACCTGCGTGACGCCAGCGATAAAGGATCTAATGGCAAGCGCACGAGGACGATGGCCTGCTGCCTCACCGTTCATGGAGATTATGCTGCTGGTTTGGCCACCATGCTGTTTCATCGGCCGGCATCCCAACTCGCAGACTTACTGGAGCAGCAACTTGCAACATGGATACTTGTATCAGTCTGCGACCTACCTGCATCCAGATCAGACCTCATTGCAGTTCACGTACCGGACGCTCCCTAGCACTTGGACTTTGGACATGTGGACTACTGCCACCCCTCTTGGACTTCTACCCGTTGCAGCCACTGAAGACCGCCTTCACGGCCTACTCCAAAACCTGATCAAGACCGCTGCAGACCTCCTTTTCAAGACACTCGGACACTTTGTTCCCACATGAGATGTTGCTTCTTCAGACACAACCAGCCCTTGCATCCTGAGCAAACATTTTCATTGTTTTTCGACAACCCTGTAGAACATCATTAGCAGATCCCTGTTCTCCTAAACATTATTCCCTTACCCACTAGAACATCAATAGAAATACCCTGTTTTCCTGAACACCATTTCCCTTACCCAGCAGAACATCAATAGAAGCTCCCTGTTCCCTGAACTTTGTTCCCCCTTGACCTAAAGCAAACCATCCAGTCCCCTTAGTCCATCAGTAGGACTACCCTGCTCCCGTCCCCTTTAGTTCATTTGTAGGACTACCCTGTTCCCTGCAACCCCCCCCTAGTTCTTCAGCAGGACAACCATGTTCACCGGTACCAAACCTGTTCCCTCCTACTCCCGCAGCCCATGCCACCCACATTATACCCCTCTTCCCTTTCGACTTGTTAACCAGTGATCGGCCCCGTCCCGTCCTTCACAGATTTCAGCATTGCTTCATGATTTTTGTCAGCTGGGACGTTGCCTTCTAGAGGGAGGGGATAGTGTTACGGACTCCGCCAGGGCTCGATCCCTGGTCTACCTTTTTGCTGTTTCTGCTGCATCCCGTTTTTGGCCTGGTACTCTTTTTCCAAACCCCTCCTTTGGTACCGTCGGATTTTGGACAACTGGCGCCATGCTGCAATTCGGGCGCCACTTTCAAATACCGCATTTTTCAGTTCTGCCCTCGGGGCTTTTTCCAGAAATGCCCCCGGTACCGTACGTGTCACCGGTACTTATACCGGCTCCCCGTACGGTATGGGGACCAGTCTCGTACCAGTTTCCGGCTGCTGTACTCGTACTCGGTGTGACTTGCTCCTGTTTCGGAATTCGGAATCCAAGACTTCGACTTTGTGTCCTGGCCGCCTGCGTCCGACCCTCAGTCGTGTCGAGTGAGTGAGTGTGTGTGTGTGCTCTCACTCTCTCCCTCTCTCTCTCCTCTCCCTCGGCTCTCCCTGTCTCCCTCAGCCTCCCGCTCGTTACATTCCACCTCCCTCTCATTGCTTTCCATAAGTCAAATAGTGTTACAATCATCAACAGTCTTTTTGTGCTTGATCCATGTTTGCGGTGAATTTGTTTCACATCATGCCTTTGTTCCTCGGCATCGACTTCCATTCTGCATTTCTGATTCTTTGTTACCAGTTGTCACTCATACAATGTCGACAGAATCCTGGAACCTCGGTTAGTGGTGGCTCAGTTGGGACCACCACTCATTTCCACCGCCACAATTTATGCTGGTTGGGCAACCATCATATCTTAATGATTACTGAATGTAATTCAGGTCTGTGGCTGCGGTTGACTCCTGAGAGATCTCTGACTGTTTACCTACTTTTTCCGAGTGAAGGCCTGGCTCCTGGTTTTCCTGGGTCAACTACCTAGCATGGGTTCAGGCAGCCTCATTTGACCCTGGACATGGTACCTGGTTACACTACTAATAGGCCTTTTCTCAGACCCCTCTATGGTAAGACATACCATTTCCGGCCCCCGTCTGTGGAGTTTTTGAACTGAGTTCATTGCAATTATAATCAAGGCTGGTCCCGGGGCCGCCTGCCAGTGGCCGGTTGTGCCACTCGGTTGCCCACCGGGTGATCCCAGCGCATCACAGGTGGGGGGATTTTTGGGCTTTTTTCGACGCCTGGGGCCTTTTCGCCCCCCCCAGGACGTGCACAAGGTAAAAGACCATCTAAAGCGGGTCCAGTAAGCCCTCCCTAAACGATTCAAAAGCGCGGCCGATCTGGACCGCCGATCTCAAGAGATCGGTGGCCCAGAATGGCCATCCTTTTGAATCGTTTAAGGTGGGAACTACCGGACCCACTTTCAATTTTTTTGGCCTGGCTCCACAACACAACACTCTACGTGCATTTGGATGCTTCTTGGGGCGCGTACATGGATGTAGAGTGTCGTGTAGTGGAGGTAGGACCCCAGTTCCCTCCCCTGCATTTCCCCGCCTGCTGCCCCTGACCTACCGCCCATTCCCATGATCGGCTGCCAGCAGTTCGCGCGCCCTCGTCTCCTTCATCCCGTCGTCATGCCGTCGCCTTCAGCTCCCAGCCCGCCCGCCATCACCCCAGCCCGTCGTCGCGCCTGCGCAGTCCGCGGGCCATTATCCCCACCGGCAAGTTGTTAGTTCTTCTTCTTCATGTATATATATATACACACACACACACTCACACA